GAGGAAGAGAGGGAGGGAGGGATCCAAAGTAGAACAGGAGACGGATTTTGTTTGCTCATCTTGTGTGTAATGATAATAATAAAAAGCATTTATTGTAAAGCACAAATTCCCGATCAACAGCAAGCTCTATGCATTTTATATTCTCTCGTATTGTTTCTACGGACATAATTGTATTCTTAAACAATCTCAACTCCCCAGGAAGCATTCACTGCCAGTTGCTATTTTACAGGTACTAGGACACTAACACATTGTCAAGATCTTTCGCTGTCTATGGCCGGGTATCCATTTGCACATGATGAATGAAGTGAGGATTACTTGATTACTTGATTACTTGATTACTTGATCCTGGGAACAACATCCTATCACTCCGGGCATTGCCATACGTGCTCCGCTCCCCGTTCCAATCTCCACCTCAGAGTCCACCTGCTGATTGTTCCGGTGTTCATTTGGTTAATAGCCCGTCTTTACATCCCCTGCACCATGCTGGTTCTGCCACTTCCTCTGAAGACACACAGTTCTTCAAGTCGTAAGATTGGCGAAGAGCGTTAATCTACAGTACGTGTGTACGTACGTTCACGCACATGTATTTAGTGTTAAATAAAAAGAAGACATTGTAAAGCGCCGAGGATGCGTGCCACTATACTACTAATGATACACTTAATTGCTACAAGATTACATATATTAAATTTTTTAGGAAACGGTTTACAGACGAATATCAGCTTGCATATGCCAAAACATGTGCAGCAGCCGTGTAGTGAGGTGCAGAGAATGTGAGTTGTTTCGTTCACTATGTCACCCGAGCAAAAGGATCATGGAACCGAGTTCTGCCTTATATACGATAAATGAAAAATGTGCACATACAAACAAAAATGCTTATTTTTGTAAGCTACAGGTCTACAGAGGGAGTGACAGCGGAGCGGTTAGTGCGCTTATCTCCAAAGCGGAAAGTCCGGGTTCGAGCCTCGGTTCGGACACGGATTTTTTTCACCCCCTCCTGCTCACCCAGCAGTAATGGGTACCTGACTTCGAGTTGGGGAAGTAATGGCTGCGTGGAAAGGAACTGGCCAGACTACCACATAATGCTGAAGGCCCAGGAAGTTGTCTCAACTAACAAGGCAATCCCATGTCCGGGTCGGATGCAGGAACAGCTTTACTTTTTTTTTCTACAGGTCTACAACTGGTCTAGATTGCACTTTTCTTTTTCTGGGTGTTATCAGCATTGTAAAATATCATTTGGTTTCCGAACATTAAGGTTAAAACAAAAATTGGAGTTATCTGTATTAGTACATGGTTACTCACCACCAGTCGCTGACAAAGTTCTCCGTCCACCACGACCGTAACACCAGAGCTCGCTGTAGCTTGGGGCCCACTCCTGTCTGTGACACACGTGCGCACGCCCACACACACACACACAAATACACACATACATACACACACACACATACAGACAAACACAAATACATACAAACACATACATACACACACGCATGCACACACGTGTACACAGAAGAAAGAATAAAACCCAACAAACTCTGTAAGACTCATAGAAATATACATGTACATGTTGGACGAGTAATAGTATTCTTACAAACATTACTACTTTCACAAGCTAAAAGCTAAAAGAATAAGATTTCCGAGGGCTAATCAATAGGAAACATTTTTTTCACGGTCTCATTTCCTCGCCCAAGACTCAATAGCTCTTTGGAGAGACCATAAAGTAAATTCAAGCTCAACGGAGACTATCATGAACTCAAGGTACTCTGCACCACTTTATATCAAATTCTCATTTACAGACCCTGCCACAAACTTAAGGCATGCTCCCCTGCTTATTAATCAAATGTAATAATAATATGTTCAATGAAAACTACAACAAACTTAAGGCACACTCTCCCATTTAACCCAATTCACTTTCTACAGAATGTACTTAAGGCACACCCTTCCATTTAATCAAATTCACGTTCAACTGTCATAACCACTTATAGCACACACTCCCACTAAGACTCAAATTCGGGTTAAGTGAAAACTACCACTTGACACACTTAAGGCATGCTCCCCCACTTAATCAAATTTTATTCTAAAGACTTTACCACAAACTTCTCCGCTTCTCTCTTCAGCTCCTCCAATGTCTTCGGGTCGTCTTGATAGAGAGGTTCAAAAGACTCCATCAGCTGTTGAATGGCAGTGGCGAGGGGTGGTACCGGGAGGCGGGGCAAACTTGATTGACAGTTGTAGAGGGAGGGCTTCCAGCCTGACATGCTGTACACCAGAAGGCCCCACAGCTTCGTGCTTAGTGAAGGTTTGTTTTCGTCTAAAAGGAGAGAAAATCAAACCATGAGGCCCCATTTACACGTACAGTTCATTGATCGACAAACTGTAGAATATCGAAAGGATGGCCGGCATCTCGTCAACTTCCCGGTAAAACTGAGTGTGAAAACAAGCAATCCTCTCGATATCGAAGGGTTCTCAGTCCAACCTCAAGTTATCTGGCGGCGCCAGATATTTGCCGCCTGGCGAACTGAAGGCATGCCGACGAAGGAGCGGCTTCTTTGATGCTGCCCCAGGCGGAGTTGAAAATGCATTCCCAAATTTTCCTAAATATTAGTCAAATAAAAAAAAAAGGTTTTCGTGATCAGCGACCCAAAACTAGTCACAATCACGCGCGGAACACAATTTAATGCCGGATTACCAACTTAATTGTTTTCGGTGTGTTTTGTGTGTTTTGTCAAGGACCTACATTTAAACGATAACAAAACTGTACGTCTAACAGGAACTTCTCTCGTCGACAAACTGTCAGTTTAACGATGACCCAGATCTAGCGTCCGTCGGTTAAACTGTCAGTTTGTCGGTGAATGAACTGTACGTATGAAGGGACCCTGATATCGCTATATTGTTTTAAGGCATGTCACCGGCCTGCAAAACACGATGTTTGTGTCAAAATATCGAATTTTAACTTTGTCCATCTTAAGGTACCTAAACATCCGGTGAATCGATGACGCTCGATGTTTCATTCTGAAGAGAGACCCAATTTCATTTTTAGAGGCTTTTTCCGGAGGGCACCATCCCCTTTCCCAAACTGGCGCATTTTCTTCAAATTAGCCCTTGGTTGTACCTCGACAACAACCATGTGTGACCGTAACATGTTTAGTACCGTTGTGCTCTCAAGGATTTCTTTTTTCAAACCACTAAACGACCAAGATGATGAAGATTTGTGTAATTACGGCAGTTGAGAATATATTGATTGCAAGACACACAGGACTCCTCTTCTTGTAAAGTTTGGGTTGTCTTGGACAAAATGAATCCCCATAGCTAAAAAAAATATTATGACGTCAATACTCAGTCACAGAATGCCGCGCGGTAGTTAACATCCAAAAGTACTTTACGATCACCGCCGATACTTCTTTCGATTCGACGGCCGTTTGGATCGCTTTCATTGACGGAACCATCTGGTTCACTCTTGTATTTGACGAGACCCCACCCTGTTTCCGATCCCGCTTTATTTTAGCAAGCTACAGAGCAGGTAAATCTAAGTTTCCCCTTTCGAATGTGCATGTAGTATAACCTAAGAAGTAGTTTTCACTCTCATACACATATTTCATTTCACAGTTATGTTTCATGTTTGGCCTTTATACCATTACCTACTTGTATTATGTAAGGAACGAGAAAGAGAGAGAGAGAGAGAGAGAGAGAGAGAGAGAGAGAGAGG